ACCATGCTTATTAGTGGTAGAACCATGACTGACACCCAGGTTTGTCCTACCTTTATTCTGCTGGTCCTTTTTCTTTTTTTGTTTGTTTAAAAAAAGTCCAGTGCAACAATTCAAATGATATAGAAGTATAAAGAGAAAGAATAAGCACCACTCACGCTCACACATACGATTTGATCTGTATCCTTTTATGCCTTTTTTTGTCACTATTCTGCAATTTGCTTCCCCCACCCCACCACTTACTATATATCAAAGAAAAATATTTTTATCTATGAGTAGATTTAAATCTATTTCTTTTTTTTGGTTCAGTTCATGGCATTTCAGAGCATGAATAAATTCTGCCCTTACTAATGGATATTTGGGTTGTTTCCAACCATTGCAAATAGAGCTGCTCTACACATCTTTATCCCTTTCTCCTTGTGCATGTGTATTCTTTCTATCAGATAGATTCCAAAAGTGGAATTACTGGGACAGAGTATGCATATTGTAAAGTTTGGTATGTAGCTAAATTGACCTTCTAAAGATTATACTAATTTTTATTCTCTATAAGCTATAAGATAGTGTCTCCTCACAGCCTCACCAACACTAGGTATTATAAAAAATGTTTACTTTTTTGCCAAGGTTGAGAAACAAAAATGGCACCTCACAGTTATTTTTAACTGGAATTTATTTGTGCTAATGAGATTAAGTGTCCTTACATATGGTTACTGACTATTTTTATTTCTTCTTTAGTGAATTACATGGAGATTTTTTTTTCCAAATTTTTTTTTTTTTTTTACTGTTTTTTTTATTGTGGAGCTCTCCAAATCTTACAGATATTAACTCCTTCTTATAATCACGGATCAGCTTAATGATGGGGATGCATTCTGAGAAATGCTTCATTAGGCAATTTCATCACTGTATGAACATCAGAGTATACTTATGTAAACCTAAATGGTATGGCCTACCACACACCTAGGCTATATGGTATAACCATTATAATCTTACGGGACCACTGTCATATACGTGGTCCATCGTTAACTGAAACATCAACTGTACACTGCAAATATTTTTCCCAGGCTTTTTTTCTTTTAAATTTCTTTCACCACACAGAAGTTTAGAAATATTATAAA